TAGACACCTCCTAGGTTATGAGTTTGCATGACTGCATGGAGCACCATTACCTTCATGCCAGGGCGGTACCTATCGATCTACTTACATTTGGCATGTTTTCGAACTGCTAGGTTGACACAAACTGGGGCTAACAGCGGGAGCTCACCCTGCTCCCCAGGTTCAAACTGCCAACCTTTTGGTCAGCAAGTACAGCATACACTGTTTCATGTTGAGAACAAGAATAGTAAGGAACAGTACCTATAACCATTTTTAGTGTGTTTCAGGAGCAACTTGAGAAGCTGCAGGTTGCTTCTAGTGTGAGAGAACAGGTCGTCTGCAAGGATGTTGCCCAGGGCATGCCTTGATGTTTTACTATCCTGTGGGAGGCTTCTCTCATGTCTCCGCATGGGAAGCTGGAGTTGACAGACGGGAGCTCACCCTGCTCCCTGGATTTGAACCGTTGACCTTTCGGTCATCAGTCCTGTCGGTACAAGGGTTTAACCCATTGCACCACTAAGGGGTGTATCTATATGCTTAGGATATATAAGAGAATCCACCATTAACTCCCAGCAACCAATTTCTGCAACAGTTTAGTGAGTATTATGTGTCAGTCAAAGCCTATGTTTATTCAGAGTAACTCCGACTGAATTCTGGACATAAACAAAATGCAAAAGACATAAAGATTTTATATCCTTCCCTGATAATGGGCTGTACGCTATGTAAGCTGTTACTTCTTGGAATTTTTTTTAGAAAGCAAGCCTTGCATTAACTCTGGATCCCTCACCCCATTAATGTAATTCTTGCACCTCTCTGCTTCATGTCAATGCTCCTGCTATGGCAATGGGGCAGGAATGGAGGATTAGGTTTTAAGTGAAATGGAGCAACAAAGGCAGCAAACACTCTTCTCTGGCAAGAGGTTGGATGAAAAGAAAGAGCACCAGAAAAGCCATCCTCCCAGCTGTCATCCACATCTGGAAGTGCACACATTCCAAGGATGCCAACAGCAGTAATGTGCTGTTAAGACCGCCAAGGCAGAAAGCACTTAATTGCGGTTTCTTCAAAAGAGCTGTACAAGGGCTGCCAGATTTACAAGGCAAGCCCAGACTTGCCACTCTCATCCTTTTCTGCTGCCTTGAACTTCCCTTTCCTGTAGGGCAGCCTCAGGTGATACCAACAGATTTCGTGCTTGGTGACTGCCAGAACAATAAATAAGTATAAATCCTGTCGGTGCAGTCCTTCCTGAAGTTTCTGCAACGCCCCAGAGTGATTCAACTGGACTTTTTGTTTCTATCGTAAAGATTGTTCCTTCTGCTAGCTTCTGTTTCTCTGCCCTTAGGTGGATGCCTACCGCACTGGGTGGTCTCCCCACCCCCATTATGGCATTTTTGCAGGCTGCAAGTAATGAGAGCCAGTGCATCCCCTTGCTGCTTGCGCTCACCACCCCGGACATTCCTTTGTCTCCATCTCCTTGGGAGCCCCTCGAACTCCTCCAGGATCCTTTAATCTGCCATAAAATGCCACCAGATGGGGAAGAGTTTTTAAAAACTCCTCTGCTTGAGCACAGAATAGTATAGTCCTTTCATCAGTCAATGGATTTTCTTTGTAAATCTCTTTCTCAGATATATGGTAGATCTCCCACAGCCAACAGAGTTAGTCTTAGACATTTTAGGAGGGGTTTCTTAGGTTGAACAAGGGACAGAAATTGTGTGGTCCTCCAGATGTTGAATTTCAGCACTCCTTAGGATTGGGTTGCTGTGAGTTCTCCGCACTGCATGATCATGCTCCAGAAGCATTCTCTCCTGACGTTTCACCCACATCTATGAACTCCTTAGCATTGACTGTCTTGGCTAGAATTGATGGAAGTTGGAGTCCAACAATATCTGGAGGGCCACATGTTTTCCATCCCTGTAATAGACTCTCAAGTATCCCTCCTCTGATTTAGTTGTTATGAGACAACTGAAGCCATATGGTCCCATCTAGATGTATTCGACCACAACTACCAGTCAGGATGAGTTATAGCTATGGAGATGTCAAAGCTGGTGCCTAATCCTGTTTCACATATTATTTCACTTTCTCTGCTCACTCCTCATGGTCACCATTCCAAGTGACCACATTTATATGAAAAGCCCAGTTTAAACCAAAACCAGTGTGTGGGATGCAGTCTCCAAAGTCCAGGTTGAACTAGAGTTTTAATGGCCTTACTTAAAAAGATGTTCATGTTATATGTACTAAATTCCACCATTTAATGCCATAGTTCCTTTTCATTCCCAAATTTTGCTTCTTCAGATGTTTTGGACTTTGTCTCCCAGAATTCTTGACTCTTGGCAATGCTGACTGAGGCTTCAGGGAACTGAAGTCCCATATCCCTGGAAAACCCATGTTTGGGAACCACCAAGGCAATCCATCTATTATCATCATCATCATCATCATCATCATCATCATCATCATCATCATCATCATCATCACCATCACCACCACCACAAGTTTAGTACACAGCACACAAGATCACTATTCTGGCTTTTGTATTTGATCACAAGTCAGACATTTCCCAAGTGTCTAGGACTGTGTGATGTATTGGTGAATAATGCATGCAGATCCAAGCAGGGTGGCCTTTTGCAGCTGACAGATGGTAATTTTGCGCCAATTGTTTTTAAGTGCAGGCCAAGGTCTTTAGGCACTGTACCCAGTGTGCTGATCACCACTGGGACCGCCTTTATTATTATGATATATACGACAGTCCATCTAACACTGTAATTAACTACTTCCACTACGTAAACTGTGAAGCCCATACTACGAAAATTGGGACACTTGTATTACATAGTTGTGCTATGACTCACTGCAGTGGCTCCAGAGAATACAACACGGGGCTATCTCTACATTGGAATGTCTATCCCTCACACACACTTATAAAACTGTCTTTTTCACTGATCGCAGCTGTACTTCTATTTTGGTTTTCATCACCATCCTACTGCTGTTGCCTTAGAACAGATCACAAGGCAGTGGCAGTTAGGAGTTTAACATTACACCACAGCACCTCCTACAGCAAAGGCAAAAAAAAAAAGCAAGTGATATATGGGACAGGCAGTCATTCTGGAAAGGTTACTCAACAAGTTACTGGAGGAAAGCAGAACAGCAGTAATTTCCTGTGCCATAATTTAATAAGACAAGGTGTATATATATCACTACCACCAATCTATGTTTTGTACACATAAACCCCCAGAGCAGTGGATCTCAACCTGTGGGAGTTTTGGTCTACAGCTCCCAGAAATCCCAGCCAGTTTACCAACTCTTGAGCTTTCTGGGAGTTGAAGGCCAAAACATCTGGGGAACCACAGGTTGAGAACCACTACCCTAGATCCAATCTTCAGTCCACATTTACACGTTCTGTGACTATTTGAAAGCTGACCAATTAATTCTCAAAGAGGGGCATGCAATTTGTAGTGTACCAGATGTTGAAGGGCTGATGTTCCCATTATCCTTGCCTATGCCTAAAGTAGATGGGCACTGCAGACCAATAGCATACAACAGGTCCATATATTCATAGTATTCTACACAAGTACAGGCGCTCCTCAAATCCATGAGGTATTTACTTGCTTATAAACCTTATCTTTATTCCAATATGGGGTGTCACTAGAACCCCAAGGCCTGCCAATCAGCCACTGGTTTCAAAACAGTGGCTTAGAAAGGTGGTATAGCAAGTCTGCTGACGCACCTCAAAAACCCTCTCCTGATTAGGAGAACTTCAAATCCATATTGAAAGTTAAAGCAGACCATAAATTCAATGCACATCTTGGGAAATTTATGTTTTTGTGATTACAGATCCCAAAATTGCCCAGCCACACCCATGAAACTTTTTGGAGTTTTGTCTTTGTTTATTGCAGTGGTTCCCAAGCTGTGGGTCCCCAGATGTTTTTGGCCTTCAATTCCCAGAAATCCTAACAGCTGGTAAACTGGCTGGGATTTCTGGGAGCTGTAGGCCAAACCACCTGAGGACTCACAGGTTGAGAACCACTGGCTTAATTGAAGGTCTGGTGTTTGTTTACTGCTGCTGCTGTTCAAAAAATCTGAAGTCAAAATTGCAATGCATTCAGTGATTACTAGTAAATCCAGTGTCCTGCTGCCCACCTCTGTTAATTGTTCCTAATTATACACCGTATATAATGTAATACAACTATTACAAAGCTCTCCCAATCCTTAAGCTTTCCTTACTGTTTTGTCATGGTTAGTTTTAAAAAGTGTTGTGATTCTCTGCTGGTTTCCACCCAACTCCACAGAAGTCACTTCATTTACCTGCCTAGGCCCACTAGAATCATAGAACCATAGAGCTGGAAAAGACCTCATGGGCCATCCAGTCCAACCCCCTGCCAAGAAGCAGAAAAATTGCATTCAAAGCACCCCCAACAGATGGCCATCCAGCCTCTGCTTAAAATCCTCCAAAGGAGACTCAACATAACATCCAGTGCAAACATTTTGGGGGCATATTTGTGGAGTTGGAGAGAAACAAATAAAGGTGGGAAGGGCTGGAGGGATGAGTGAGAAAAACGACACCCAAGCACTGGTGTAGTTGCTAATCTTCTTGTTTCTGTATAATCATGTATTACCAAAAGGGGAACACATGCTGCTTTTCACAGCAGTGGTGACAAATATTCAAACGAAAGGCTTGCGACAGGCCCTAATAACCCTCTCCCATCTGTTCGGCTAATTATCCCAAGAACCTTTCGAGAGGGCAAAGTCAGGTAAACGTAACCGCAATCACCAGACGGCAGAAACAGTGCAAAAAAAAAAAAAGCGAGGAAAGGATAGCTGCGGGAAAGAAGTGACCAAGATTGATCACATACTCTGCGGAAGGAGAGAGAAAAAGAAAGAAAGAAAAGCACCCAAGAAAGCAAATCGTCCATTCATCCGCGGAGTGTTAACAGAGGTTTTTGCCACGGTTTATAATTATTGCACAAACCCAGTATGAGTCACCCGAATGGCATGGAAACTGAAGAGGCATTCCGGCTCTGCAGCGGATCCCTTACCAGAAGTATCCCAGAGACTGAGCTCTATCCTTTGTGTGTCTATTTCGAAACTGGCTGTGTAATTCTCAAACACAGTGGGCACATAGTTCTGGGCAACAAAGAAAAGAGAGAAGCACAACATTAGCCTGTTAGGGCAATTAACACTGCAATCAATTACATCATCATCATCAGACTGGGTGAGTGAAGGCACAGCTACACTGAGTAGAATGAATGCAGTTTGGCACCTCTTTAACTGCCCTGGCTCAATGCTATGCAATTGTGGGATTTGTAGTTTGGTGAAGCACCAGCACTCTTTGGCAGAGAAGACTAAAGACTTGTAAAACTACAGAACCACAATCCCATAGCATTGAGGCACAGTAATTAAGACATTGAGTCCCCTTGGGGAGATAGGGTGGGATATAAATAAAGTTTACTATTATTTGATACATAACAAGATTAGTACACAGCAAACAATATCACTATGCTGGCTTTTTATTTGATCACATGTCAGACACTTCCCAAGTGTCTAAGACTGTGTGATGTATTGGCAAATAATGCATGCAGATCTGAGTAGGATGGTCTTTTGCAGCTAACAGATGGTAATTTTGTCAGTACCAATTGTTTTTAAGTGCAGGCCAAGGTCTTTAGGCACTACACTCACTGTGCCGATCACCACTGGGACCACCTTTACTGGCTTGTGCCAGAGTCTTTGCAGTTCCATCTTTAAATCCTCATATTGTGTAAGACTATTATTATTATTATTATTATTATTATTATTATTATTACTTTAAGCAGTGTCAAAATGCATTATTTCTACAGTGGAGATGCACCCTGAAGAGCTAATTAGAGGCCCTTCCACACAGCCCTATATCCCAGAATATCAAAGAAGGTAATCCCACATTATCTGAGTGTGGACTCAGATAACTCAGTTCAAAGCAGATAGTGTGGGATTTTCTGCCTTGGTGTTCTGGGATATAGGGCCCAAGGACAAATAGGAGAAGAGAGATTCCCCCCACTCCCAGAAATCTGCTCTCTTATGTCTCCAAATATTATCATATTTATTTCTAGCTTGCCTTTTCCCCAGTTTGGGACTCATGACAGCTTACAACAAATAAAAAAAATCTAATTAAAATCTTAAAATGAGATTAAGCCATCAAAAATTAAAACCAGATTCAAAACAGGTATCAGTAAAAGACATGCCAGCACAACAAGGAGCGAGATCCAGCAAATTATTTGGTGGGACAGGTCTTCTATAGTTAATCATTGAAGCAAAAAGGTCTTTTACTTCCCTGTGAAAATAGATTAGGGAGGGCACCAGTCTAACTTCTCTGGGAAGGGACTTCCACACAACCATATAACACAGCATATTAAGGCAGAATAACCTACAATATCTACTTTAACTGGGTTATCTGGGTCCACACTGCCCTATATCCCAGTACAAAGCAGATAGTGTGGGATTTTCTGCCTTGGGTTATATGACTGTGTGGAAGGGCCCTGAGTTATCTGAGTCCACACTGCCATATAACCCAGTTCAAAGCAGATAATGTGGGATTTTCTTTTCAGCTGCGTGGAAGGGTCCTGGGAAGGGACTTCCAGGTCCTAGGGCAGCTGCCGGGGGCCCTTTCAGACACAGGATCGGATCCCAGATTATCTGTTTATCCCAGATTATTTGGTAGTGTGGACTCAAATAATCCAGTTTAAAGCAGAAAACCTGGGAGCAGATCCTGGGATAGAGGGCCTATCTGGAAGGGCCCTGAGAAAGCTCTCTATTTTTCCACCAGATCTATCTGTTGAGGGTGTCTACTTTCACAACTGGTGCTCCAACCACTTTTCTGTTAACATATCCTGACATCTTTAAAGAAGTTTGAAGGAAAAATCTAAACAGGTGGAGCATCCCTTACCCAGAATTCAGTGATACCTTGACTTTTCTGATGGGTCAAGGTATGCAAACTTTGTTTCACACCCAAATTATAAATATGATATACAATTATGTGAATATACACATTAATTTTGGGTTGCTGTGAGTTTTCCAGGCTGTCTGGCCATGTTCCAGAAGCATTCTCTCCTGATGTTTCATCCACATCTATGGCAGGCATCCCCAGAGGCTGTGTTCATTTTTGGGTTGCTGTGTTTTTTCTGGGCTGTACGGCCATGTTCCAGAAGCATTCTCTCCTGACGTTTCACCCACATCTATGGCAGGAATCCTCGGAGGTTGTGAGGTCTGTTGGAAACTAGGCAAGCGAGCTTTATATGTCTGTGAAATGTCCAGGGTGGGAGAAAGAACTCTTGTGTGAAAGAGGCAAATGTGAATGCCTAGTTTCCAACATTCCCAACCTCTGAGAATGCCTGCCATGGATGTGGGTGAAATGTCAGGAGAGAATGCTTCTGGCAAGAGTTCTTTCTCCCACCCTGGACATTTCAGACATACCATCCTCACTTGCCTAGTTGCCAACAAACCTCACAACCCGTGAGGATGCCTGCCATAGATGTGGGTGAAACGTCAGGAGAGAATGCTTCTGGAACATGGCCATATAGCCAGAAAACCCTGCAACAACCCAGTGATTCCAGCCATGAAAACCTTCAACCACATATATTAACTTTATGTTCAGGCTTCCCATCTCCTAGAGGTCTATCTCATGACGGGAACCAAAAATCCCAAATATTTCTGATCCCAGGCATTTTGGACAAGGGACACTCAACCTGGATTGTGAAAGGGTACGCTGACTGTAGAAGGAATGCAGTTTTGGCCTGATTAGAGCTCAATGCCATGGAATCAAGGTGGATGGAGTTGGAGAGGATCAAAGAGTGATAGACCAAACCACAATTCAGGATTCCATAGCATTGAGCAAGAGCAGTTAAGTCAAACTGGATTGGATCAGAGTGGACCAGGTATGGGCCAACTTGGGCCCTCCAGGGGCTTTGGACTCCAACTCCCACCATTCCTAACAGCCTCGGGCCCCTTCCTTTTGCCCCTCAGCCGCTTAAGCTTAAGCAAAAGGAAAGGGCCTGAGGCTGTTAGGAATGGTGGGAGTTGGAGTCCAAAGCCCCTGGAGGGCCCAAGTTGGCCCATGCCTGAGGTAGATGCCCCGAGAGAGGTACTGATCCTCCCTCCGTGGCTGTTCCCCACTCTGCAGGCTCTCTCTTCCCGCTGTGGTGCAGGGTCTGCCCAAGTACCTCGGGGAAGCAGTCCTTGGCGAAGACGTGGAGCAGCGCCGTCTTCCCGCACTGGGTGTCTCCCACCACCACGATCTTGCACTTCACGTTCTGGTTCGGATCCATGATGGCTTTGCTGGAGAGTTTCTGGCTGGCTCTTCTTTCCTTCATTGAGGTGCCTGCCTGCCTGGGGCTCGTCGCCAATAAACCCAAAGCCTCCCGCGGGTCTCCCCTCTCTCGAGCTCAGCCTGCCAACCAGCCGCCACGCGCTCCTTTCCTTCCTTCCTTCCTTCCCTGCTTTTCCTTCCTCTTCGCCCGTCCGGCTCCGTCTCCCTCGCTCTCTCGCTTTGTTTCCCCTCCGCCTTGGAACCCTCTTTATACGCCCCGCCGCCGACCAATCGGGAGGAAGCGGCCCGCCTCCTCTACAAGGCTCTTCTATGGAGTGGAGACTGAGCGCGCCAAGCCCGCCGCCGGACGGGCACCGGTTCCGGACGGCCGAGGGGCGCCCCCTGGAGGAGGGAGAAGGAAGGGAAGGAGAAGGGAATAAAGAGAAGGAAGATGAGGAGGGGGAACAAGAAGGAAAGGAGGAGAGGGAGGAAGAGGAAGAGGAGTGAAAAGAGAACGAGCAGGAGGAAGAGAAGGAAGAAGAGGAAAGGTAGAGGAGGAAGAGGAGAAGGAGCAAAAAGGGAATGAGAAGGAGGAAGAGAAGGAAGGAATAAGAGGAGGAAGAGAAAAAGAAGAGGAGGGGGAACAATAAGAAAAGGAGGAGAAACAAAGGGAGAAGAGGAAGAAGGAAGAGAAGGAGGAGAAACAAAGGGAAGAGAGGAACAAGAAGGAAAAGAGGAGAGGGAGAGAGGGAGGAAGAGAAGGAAGAAGAGGAGAAGGTGCAAAAAGAGAACGAGCAGGAGGAACAGAAGGAAGGAAAAAGAGGGAGAAGAGGAAGAGGAGGAGGAGGAAACAGAAGAAAAGGAGGAGAAACAAAGAGAGGAGAGGGAGAAGGACGAGAAGGAGGAGAAAAGGGAGGAGAGGAACAAGAAGAAAAGGAGGAGAAACAGAGGAGAGGAAGAAGGAAGAAAATAAGAGGAAGAGGAGAAGGAGGAACAAGAAGAAAAGGAGGAGAGGGAGAGAGGAAGAAAGAAGARAAGGAGAAAGAGGAAAAGGAGCTAAAAGAGAACAAACAGGAGAAAGAAAAGGAAGCAATAAGAGGAGGAAGAGGAAATGAAGGAGAAACAAGAAGAGAAAGAGAAGGAGAAAGAGGAGAAGGAACAAAAAGAGRATGAGGGGGAGCAGGAGGGAGAGAAAGAGGAAGAGAAGGAAAGAATAAGAGGAGGAACAAGAACAAAAGGAGGAGAAACAAAGGGATGAGAGGAAGAAGGAAGAGAATAAGCAGAGGAAGAGGGAGGAGGAATAAAAAGAAAAAGAGGAGAAACGAAGGGAGAAGATGAATAAGGAAGAGAAGGGGAAAGAGGAGTAGGAGCAAAACAAGAATGAGAAGAAGGAGCAGGAGGAAGAGAAGGAAAGAAGAGAAGGAAAGAATAGGAGGATGCAATGAAAGAGGAGGAATAAAAAAGGAGAGGGAGAGAGGAAGAAAGAAGAGGAAGAGGAGAAGGAGCAAAACAAGAATGAGAAGGGGGAGCAGGAGGAAGAGAAGGAAAGAATAGAAGGAGGAGGCAAAAAAAGAGGAGGAACAAGAAGAAAAGGAGAGGGAGAGAGGAAGAAAGAGGAGGAGGAGGAGGAGAAGGAGGAGGAGCAAGAAAAGGAGAAGGATGGGAGGGGGAAGAGAAGGAAGGAATAAGAGGAGGAAGAGGAGAAGAGGAGGAGGAAGAAAAGGAAGAGAAACAAGAAAACGCAGAAAGAAGAGAAGGAGCAAAAAGAGAATGAGGAAGGGAGGAGGAAGAGATGGAAAGGAGGAAATGAAGGAAATAATAAGAGGAGGAGGAGGAGAAAAAGGAGAAGGAGTAAAAAGGGAATGATGAAGAGGAGCAGGAGGAAGAGAAGGGAGAATAAGAATCAGAAGAAGAAAAGAAGGAGAAAGGGGAGGAGAAAGAGAAGGAAGGAGAGAAAGAAAAGGAGGAGGGAACCAGTTTAATTGGATCAGCTCTACATGCAAGACCAGTTTGCCATGGATTACAAAGGGGGCTACTTCTGTGTTTACACCAAGCATGTGCAAACTTTGGCCTTCCAGGGCCACCTTAATGGAGCCTTTCCCAGCATTACCCAAATTCCAGGGAAAGTCCCTGGAATCCTGGCACAGAATTAGGGCTTTCCCCTAATTTAGGGTCAGTGGTGGCTAGAGCTGTCCCCACTGCCATCCCAAGTTCTCCAGGTTCAGGTGGCCCAGGGGCACGGGATGGCAGTCCCCACCCCTGCTCTCTGTGTTATAGCAGTCTCCAGCCACAATGTAGCACCCAACCTCTATGTCATCTGCCCAGACATCAGCCAGGAAAATAGGTGTTAGAGTACTGGGACCGGGGGGGAGGGGGGGGGGGGGAAGAAGAGAGGGTTTCCTCTTCTCCACCCTCCCTCAGACCCCTGTCACCCTGACTGACGTCACACCTAGCAACAAGGAACAGGTAGGTGCTGTGTCACAGATGGAGATCACCACGGTACAGTGAGAGAGGGGCATTTAGGGTGAACGCCCAATGGCACCCAGCTGTGGCCAATGCCTCTAGGTGTTGGGGAGTGCCTCCCTCCTCTGCGGTGGCTGGGGGAGTCCCTGTGGGGACTCTTTAACAGCACTGATCCAGTGTTCAGCATGCCAGATCAGCCCCTTCACTATAGGTGTGCTTCTAAACATGCCTCCTGAGACACATTTGCTTTCTGCATCATAATAAAAAAATTCCCAGGAAATGTGACAAAGTGCCAACTTGGAAGTGGGGAGGTGCTGATTTTTTTCAAGAAGGGAGACATTCCTAACAGAACCAAACTTGTCTGGAAATGTAAAGTTTAATGTACAAGGGTGGGTCAAAAAGATTTGCCTCCTGGGTCATTAAAACATTTTGAATGAACATATGACAGCAGAAGTTGCTACTGATCATAGCGCGAACTGTCCTCTATGCAAAACTGCTGTTAATCAAAGACAACCTATGTGGTTTGAGATTCAATAACTTGAATGATGCTAAAACAGCTTTAAAATCTGGGTTGTTGTAGGTTTTTTCGGGCTATATGGCCATGGTCTAGAGGCATTCTCTCCTGACATTTCGCCTGCATCTATGGCAAGCATCCTCAGAGGTAGTGAGCTTTAAAATCATGGGTCAAGAAGCAAAACCCACAAATTTTTCCAAAATGGTTTTGTTGCTTCGTTTAAATGATGGCGCACATGTGTACAAATTGTTGGTGACTGTGTTGAATGGTAGTTTCGCATAGAGTACAGTTCAGGCTATGATCTGTAGCAACTTCAGTGGTCATAGGTTCATTCATAACATTTTTATGACATAGGAGGCCAAATGTTTTGACCCACCCTCGTATATTTATGTCATAAGAAATCTGACAGACAAGGCTTTTTGTCAATTTTGAAGCAGTTTCAGCTGCTGACTTAACACTGGGGCTGTCCGGGAAAGCTGCGAGAGAGAGGGAGCCGCTGAGTTTGGATAAAACGGAAATAGAGGGACAGAAATAGGGAACAGAGGGAGAAACATAAGAGTTCATGAGCTGGATTGAAAGCTCCCACAGCTATTTCATATAGGTTGGGTGGAGCAAAGAGAGAGAAAGAGGGTGCATCTACACTGTAGAATTAATGCAGTTTGACATCACTTAAATGGACATGGTTCAGTGCTATGGAATCATGAGAGTTGCAGTCTTATGAGATCTTTACCCTTCTCTGGTAACGCATACTGGTGCTTCACGAAACTGCAACTCCAAGTATTCTCATAGCAGTTAAAGGACCTCATCACATTAGGAAGTACTCTGTTCCTGAGACTGTTTGAGAATGATTTCCAATGGGTCCCATCACTAAAAGTTTACCCCATTCTGTTGGTTAGTCATCGAAATCTGTCTGCAAAACGTTACAAACATGGAGTATTTCTGGACACTATTCTAATCATAGTGTTTGAAATACTATGGAGTTTTCAGTCGCTGAAGTGTTTTTGCGTGTGATTGGGAAATCATTATGCATCCCATCAGCAACTATATGACTTGTCATCAGGATGTGTATCTAGTGGATGGAGTGTTTTGACCCCTGGGATTTTCATGATGGAAGCAGCCACCATTTCTGTTTGGGACATCAAAGGAGAAAGATCTGCAGGATTAAGGAAATAAGGAATTGCCACTTTAGCCTCTCCCCCCCCCCCCCGATATATATATATATATATATATATATATATATATATATATATATATATATATATATATGGAATCTGCACAATTTCTTCCTTTATTGTATATGTATTGAAACAACAGACTTTTACTTTGAACTATTAGGCCTCCTCAGGAGGATAAACAGTGTTGTCAGAGTTCAGCCTTATAAAACGGAATTACTAACCACAGCAGCATCAGTAGATATAGCAGAGGAGCCATATCTATTGAATCAATAACAGCATGTAACAAATTTTGAAAACAAAAGATCCGTTTCTGGTTTGAAAGTGATATTTCCTGTTCAATTGTGTGGTACTTACTTTGAAAGTAGTTGTTATACTCCAGAAACTTTGTGGCTGCCATTTTTAACCTTTTGTGCAGACCACAAAAACAATTAGGAAATGACATTTATAACTCAGGGAAAAAAATCGGGTTACATAGTGGAATTGATCGTTTAGAAATCCAATAAGATTAGATTCCTCAGAACTCCATTATTTCACACCAAAAGGTAGTGAACAGATGAACATACTGTGCAGACATTAGTATGTTTTCAAATCTCATGAGATTGGTAATTTGGGACTTGAAAGCTACATCACTGCACAGATTTAGAAAAAAAATTAAAGGTCCTGGAGTGACGTAGGAAGTCTTCCAAACGGATTAGGAAGAGCCAGCCTTCCATGGTTTGATGGGACAAAGCAAAGCATTTTCTGAAGGTACAAATAATAGTATTTGGGTGTGATGGAGTCAGTATGCATCCCATCTACATTCAGTATGTATTCAGTCAGAAAAAAACCCTACAAGGTGCATATTGATAAAAATGGAGTATTTCCTAATGTGCTGAGGTCTGAAGTGATGACAAATGGCATTAATTAAACTGGGTAGATTATTCTAGAATCAGGGAGGGGAGGAGGTTACTGACACAGTTACTCATCACACTAGAGCAGTATTTCTCAACCTGTGGGTCCCCATATGTTTTGGCCTGCAACTCCCAGAAATCTTAACAGCTGGTAAACTGGCTGGGATTTCTGGGAGTTGTAGGCCAATACACCTGGGGACTCACA